ATGGGCGGATGCGATCAAAAACATTTCGAAGGTTTACAAGGAGAACGGCGACTACATCCAGCCTGGACGGTCCAGGTCGCTGCTATCGCAGCTGGGGAGCTCTACGCCTACGGCAAGTACGAGGTGCTTTTCAAGCCGACCAAGGCTGCCCAACACCAGTTCCGGCCCAAGGCCGAAGAGGCCATGTCTTATTTTCTCGGCTGCACGGCTGTCGATAATGGGTACGCTGAGGACGGTGGTTTTGCGATCAATGGTGGCAAGGGCTGGTCAGATTGCGTTTACGACAACCACCAGATCGATCTCAATGGTGATGTCGCCATCGCCATGGGCAACTACTACTTCACCTGCGCAACAACTGGAGAGAAATCCAAAGTCGAGTACACCTTTGGCTACCAACGTTGCGACGACGGCAAGGTTTGCATCTTCTTGCACCATTCGTCCGTGCCGTACGCCGTCTCCAGTAAAGCAGCGGATCCCAAGGGAAATATGGCGGTCAGCATAGCAGCAGATGTGATCGCTGTGCAGAACGCATGGGCCGGCGCGATCAAAAACATTTCGAATATTCACAAGGAGAATGGCGACTACGTCCAGGCCGCTGCTACCGCCGCTGGTGAGCTCTACGCCTACGGCAAGTACGAGGTGCTTTTCAAGCCGACCAAGGCTGCCCAACACCACTTCCGCCTCAAGGCCGAAGAGGCCATGTCTTATTTTGTCGGCTGCAAGGCTGTCGATAAGGGGTACGCCGAGGACGGTGGTTTTGCGATCAATGGTGGCAAGGGCTGGTCAGATCGCGTGTACGACAACCACCAGATCGCAGTCAAAAGTAGTATTGCCATCGCCATGGGCAACTACTACTTCACCTGCGCAACAACTGGAGAGAAATCCAAAGTCGAGTACACCTTTGGCTACCAACGTTGCGACGACGGCAAGGTTCGCATCTTCTTGCACCATTCGTCCGTGCCGTACGCCGTCTCCAGTAAAGCAGCGGATCCCAAGGGAAATATGGCGGCCAGCACAGCAGCGGTCACCAGGGAAGATGTGATCGCTGTGCAGAATGCGTGGGCGGATGCGATCAAAAACATTTCGAAGGTTTACAAGGAGAACGGCGACTATGTCCAGGCCGCTGCTACCGCAGCTGGTGAGCTCTACGCCTACGGCAAGTACGAGGTGCTTTTCAAGCCGACCAAAGCTGCCCAACACCAGTTCCGGCCCAAGGCCGAAGAGGCCATGTCTTATTTTGTCGGCTGCAAGGCTGTCGATAAGGGGTACGCCGAAGACGCTGGTTTTGCGATCAATGGTGGCCTGATCAAATTGCGTGTACGACAACCACCAGATCGCAGTCAAAAGCAGTATTGCCATCGCCATGGGCAACTACTACTTCACCTGCGCAGCAACTGGAGAGAAATCTAAAGTCGAGTACACCTTTGGCTACAAACGCTGCGATGATGGTAAGGTCCGCATCTTCTTGCATGATTCTTCAGTGCCGTACACGGCCATGCAAGCGAAGGCCCCTGTTGCTGAAATCGATGCGACATTGACCGGTGCGTGAGAGGCCAGCACGATTCTGTCCAGCAAGTTTGGACGGTAGAGTCGTTGAATTCCCACTCGTCTTCGTGCGCAGTATTTTTTCGCGCTTTCCTCCCCACTCCCTGGGGCGGTGTTTGCGCCTCAGCATTGTTCCGCTAGGTATTTCTCGCTAGTGATTCTTAAGCTTACCGTGTGCGTGATGTGTGCTCTCGCTTTCATCTTTTCTCACCCATAATACCCTGTCGAAACCCAACCCATTGCAAACGCGCGGCGAAGATTATTGAAACGCTGAATGCCCATGAACATGCTGAGGGATATGCAGTACCCCTGAAATCTTCGCCAAGAAACGGAAAACTACCCTCAAAGCCGCTCCATTCTCGCTTGCACTCTCACTTGGGCTTTTGGGGGAGCTCCCATGAGGCCACGAAACGTGTGAGGGGTATGCCGAAATTTGCTGGAGTAACCATGGGAACCCTGCAAATGGAGCCTTCGGTGAATCTCCCTATGGGGCCACGAAGCGTGTGAGGATGTTCCAGAACGGACCCGAGTACGCACGCGAACCATGCCACCGAGGTCTTCGGTGGAGCCCCCTATGGGGCCACGAAACGTGTTATGGGTTGGCCAAATGGACCCGAGCAACCATGCGGACGCAGCCACTGGAGCCTTCGGTCTATCTCCCCATGGGGCCACGAAGCGTGTGACATATGCGTCAGAATGGACCCCATGACGCATGCGAACCTACCATTGGGACCTTTGTTGGAGCTCCCCATGGGGCCACGAAGCGTGTGAATGTTGTGCCGAAGTGGACCCGAGTACGCATGTGGACGCAGCCACTGGGGCCTTCGGTAGAGGTCCCTATAGGGCCACGTGTGAGGGTTGTGCTAGAATGGACCCGAGTAGCGATGCGGATGCAGCCACTAGGGCCTTCGTTTGAGCTCCCTATGGGGCCACGAAGCGTGCGAGGGGTGCGCCAAACATGTACTCGCGTATGCATGCGGATGCAGCCACTAGGGCCTTCGGCGGAGCTCCCTATGGGGCCACCAAACGTGTGAGGAGTGTGCCAGAATAGACCCAGCTAGCCATGCGGACCCTGCCACTGAAGCCTTCGGCGGAGCTCCCTATGGGGCCACTAAACGTGTGAGGAGTGTGCCAGAATAGACACAGGTAACCATGCGGACCCTGCCACTGAAGCCTTCGGCGGAGCTCCCTATGGGGCCACTAAACGTGTGAGGAGTGTGCCAGAATAGACACAGGTAACCATGCGGACCCTGCCACTGAAGCCTTCGGCGGAGCTCCCTATGGGGCCACTAAACGTGTGAGGAGTGTGCCAGAATAGACACAGGTAACCATGCGGACCCTGCCACTGAAGCTTTCGGCGGAGCTCCCTGCGCGGCCACGAAACGTGTGAGGGCAGAATGGGCCCGAGTAACCCATGCGAACGTTGACACTGAAGCTTTCGGTGGAGCTACCTATGGGGCCACGAGACGTGTGAGGGGTGGACCCGAGTAACCACGCGAACGCAGCCACTGGGGCCTGCAGTGGAGCGCCCTATGGGATCACGAAATGTGTGAGGAGTGGGCTGGAATGGACCCGAGCAACTATGCAGCCGCAGCCACGGGGGCTTGCAGTGGAGCTCCCCATGGGAACACGAAATGTGTAGGGGTGTACCGACATAGACACGAGCAACCATGCCGGCGCAGCCACTGGGGTCTTCGGTGGAGCTCCTTATGGGGCCACTGAACGTGTGTGGACCCGAGCAACCATGCGGACGCAGCCACTGGGACCTTCGGTGGAGCTCCCTACGGGGCAACGGATCGTGTGAGGGGTGTGCCGAAGTGGACCCGATCCGATCAACCATGCGGATGCAGCCACTGGAGCCTTCGGTGGAGCTCCTAATGAAACTCCCACAGAGTGTGCCGAAATGGGCGTGGTGGCGCCATGCGCACGCAGCCACTGGGGACTTCACTGCAGCTCCTATCTCGGGCCACGGACCGTTTGAAGGGTGCGCCGTCTGGAACGATCAGCGCCCCAGAGGCCCCGAGGCGGCTGCTCAATGCGGCCTCGAGACGGTTCGCGAAGCTTCCCCAGACGCCCCAAAAGGCCCCCAAGAGGACCCCCGAGAGAGCTTGAGGAGGTGACAAAAGCAATGGACGTCATGCAGTTTGTGAGAGACTCGTGGAGTCCCAAACCCGGATAGCAGGGCGCCCGAAGGGCGTGGAAAGGCCTGGCGATGAACGCTGGAAGGACCACCTGGAGAGCTCCCGGGCACGCGCCTTGGGAAACGCTCAGAAAAGGCAAGAGATTTTGGCATTCCAACCTTCTCGGGCAAAGAGCGGCCCAAGATGGCGATGGCTCTGACGGCCTGCGAGATCGCAGCAAGACGGTCCGAGAGGGCCCCCCCCAAATCGCCTCTTGACGGCCCCGGAGGGCCTCAAGATCGCTCAAGAGGGCCCCAGCACGGCCTGAGAGGGCCCCGCAAATGGGCCTCCAGTAGAGCCCCAAGGCGGCCAATCGTCTTGGACGCTGCCACGGAGGCCCCGAGACGCCATTAAGGCCCCCAGACGCCCCCAAGCGGCCCCCATGACGCCTTCAAAGCTTCCAAAACGCTATCAAGAGACCCCTCCAGGAAGCCCCACACGCTTTAGCACACCTATGAGCGTGATGCGCCATATGACCCTGTATTCCGATCGACCTCGTGGACCTCACACCCCCTACGAACCCCATGATCTTGACGACCCAATATGAGCCCAGCGACACCCACGAACCCTATTAGCCATACGAGCCCCGTGAGCCCTATGAGGCCCATGAGCCGTACGTGCCCTCCAAGAGTCCCCCGAGACCCTCCCCTTTGAGCCCCATGAGCCCCATCAGCCCTACGAGCCCATGAGCCCAATGAGCTCCTGAGTCCTACGACACTTATGAGCCCGACGACCCTTACGAGCCCTTCGAGCCCTACGAATCCTACGACACACGTCAGCGCTACGAGCCCTCTGAGCCCCATCAGCCCCATTTGTCCTATGAGCCCCACGACCTCTATGCACCAATAAGCTCACGAGCCCAATGCGCCCTAGGACCCTATACTCCTCACGATCTCATGCGCCTTCCAACCCGCACGAGCCTCATGAGCCTGATGAACTCATGAGCCCTTCGACCCCTCTGAGCCTTATCACCCCTACGAACCCAGACACCTCCCCTAGGAGCTCACTAGCGACCTTGCTCTCAAGCGTCCAGTGGACGCGGCACCATCAGCCTACATGAGTTCGATGGGCCTGTCGAGCCTTTCGAGCGCATCGACGTTCTCGGTGCTTGGAGCCCTATGGCCCCTATAAGCCCCCTGGATGGCTACTATGAGCCCCTATGGGCCCTATGGCGGCACCTATAAGCTTTATGAGCCCTATGCGCCCTATGGCTCCTCCGAACCTCATAAGCCCTATGACCCCGGTGAGCCGTACGAGGCGCAAGACCCCGATGGGCCCCATGAGCCCTATGAGCTTTCTGGGCCCTCTGAGCCCTATGTCGCCTGAGAGTGTGAGCTCGACGAGCCTAACGAACCCTACGAGCCCAGTGAGCCTTCAAACCCTGTCGCTTATGAGCCTTATAAGCCCTGCGAACCTGTTGAGCTCTATCAGCCCTACGGGCCCCACGAGCTGCATGGCCCCAAGGAGCCTCCGTAGCCCTGGAAGCCGTATGAGCCCCATAGGCCATATGAGCCCTATGACCCTCACGATCCGATATGAACCCTACGAGCCTTATGAGCACGGTGGGCACAATGACTCCTATGAGCCCCACGAGCCTCATAAGCTCGATGAACCCGCCCGCTATGGGGCCCAAGAGCCCGTGACTTCTGCTTGGCCAAGCCCCTACGAGCCTGAGAACCCTGATGAGCTCATCAGCCCGAGGAACCCCATGCACCAATCACGCCTGCGGGCCCTCAACAACCTCATGATCCCCATGAGCCGCCCTGGCTGAACTACCCCTCTTTCCGATTGAGGCTTCGAGCCTCTGAGCCGAAGCGCATCGCGGTACTGGCGTGCACCTGTCGCGGCGGGCCTCTGGCGCCATGCGGTCAATATTTTTAAGGCGAAGCGAAGCGAGCCAGTAACATCTTGTGTGTGTGTTTGTGTGTGTGTGTGTGTGTGTGTGTGTGTGTGTGTGTGTGTGTGTGTGCGCGTGTATCTCTCTCTCTCTCTCTCGAGTCTCTCTCTCTCTCGAGCACGCGCATTCTCCATATCTCCTTGTGCCGCACGAATTCAGCGTGCCGCCCGGGGTGGACTGCCGCCCGCCATCTTCAGCTCCTCGAGGGCGGGGCGGCGCGGCCCTCCCTGCGGAAGGTGCGGTGCCCTCGTCTGCACTCCTCCTTTGCCTGCTGCTCAGGTGGTCAGCAGTCGGAGGTCGAGTTTAGTATTTTTCTGCCGGGCAAGGCATGGCATCTGGCGTCGCTCGTGCCTCCCCCGCTCCTCTCGCCTCTCCCGCTCCGCTGGGCCGTCCAGCCTCTTCTCCCCCCTCGGGGGTCGTCCCTCGCTGTGGGCGTGGTGTAGTGGGTGGGCCTGGTGTCCGCTTGCGGATGCTGGGCTCGCGCGCCTCGCTGCGGCCGCGGCCTGGCACGGCGCCTTCCTCTCCCTTCTTTCTCCCGGGTTGTTGCCTGCCTGCTGATGCGCCATCCTCTCGCGAAGGTTCTCTCTCGTTGTGTCAAGTCGGGTCTGTCCCTCTACAGGGGGAACACTGAAAAATAGGCACGACTTTTGGAGCATGTTTCGGCTATCTGGCAGTGTTTTTGTGGATGTTTTCAGTTTTTCGTCCCACATCCGCCTGTAGGGGGACATGCCCGAACTAATCTTAATGCCTCGCCTCCCCGCCGCCTGGAGAAGGGCCGCTTCCACGCT